AGTGTATGAATGTACAGCACGAACGATTCTGCTACACCCAGTGATTATGCAGTAAGCATATGAATTTGGTAGTGCTTGAATCGACTCACGTAACCATTGGCGTAGACAAACACGATATGGTTGACAGTTGGGCACATTCAGATTGGAAGTTTCATGTATTCCACAGACTGGCGATGATCAGGTACTTCAATCCTGTCGGTGCGCATCCGTCGGGTCTCATTGGGGAAGCTCCTTCAGGATATCCAAACAATCTTATGCCCTTCATTCAGCAAGTAGGCTAATTCGGATTCTCACTTAGTCGAACCGGTGTGGCCGTAATTCTATGTTGTTCAGGTTGGTATCGGACGACGTTCGCATCTCAACGTGTTCGGTAACGACTATGACACACCTGATGGAACTGGAGTCCGTGATTATATTCATGTTATGGATTTGGCTGATGCTCACGTCAAGGCCGTCACCTACTTACTACGTGATGATATTCACGGCGCGCACATTCACAATCTCGGCACTGGACGTGGTGCTAGCGTGCTTGAGATGGTCAAAGCTTTTGAGGAAGCTTCAGGGAAGAAGATTCCTTATAAAGTCGTTGCTCGTCGGGCCGGTGATCTCGGCAGTGTTATCTGCAACCCTGCTTTGGCCGAAAAGGAGTTGGGATGGGTAGCCACTCGTGATATGAAGACTGTTATGGAGGACTCCTGGAGGTGGCAGAGCGAGAATCCCTATGGTTACGATAAGGAGGCTCCCGAGAAAGATTGAACAAAAGATACGGAATCTGACAGATTTTTTCTGCGTGCTTTTTCGGAACCGACATAATCCGACTTCGTTAATCTTTCTATCAGTTAAGCCTCAAAGGCCTGGAGAGTAGTTAATATGAACTGGTGTTGTGTTCAGCTTTCTTCAACATGGACGCGTCTGCAAATGACTCATTCTGGAGCCAATGGGACAAGTCAGTTTACCAACCATGATGTCGATCGTGATAGGCGGGAGAACGAACTTGATAGTTCAAGGAGGGCGCATTGCCGTCCAGAGACCTCCCTCGGATGAACAGCAAGAGAACCTCATCTCTGTTGCTGCGGTTCCATAACGTGACTACTGTGGACGGCCTAGTTACACAGTATTTGAGAAGTGGAGTGATGGACTACTTTGACGAGCCGAAGCTGTGC